ATCAAAATTAATGCCGACACCGAGAGAGAGAGTGAGAGAGAGAGAGAGAGAGAAGTGAGAGAAAGAAAGAGAGAGAAAGAGAGGGGGGGGGGACAGACTGACAATCGAGGGCGGTCGGCGTCGTGGAAGGTAAAGCAAGAGCTTGAGTAAAGTTGAGAGGAAAAAAAAACGAGCGTACTTTTCGTACCGAAGCGTCGACGCTTCTCGCGTCTCCGTGTCTTTATCCACCGTCTTTTTTCCTTTTTCCCTCCTTTCGATCTTATTTCTAAGGTAGCAAGATTAATCGCCGGCCTGAACGATCCGCCGATTAACGCCACCGTCGTGGTCGCAGCAAATTAACACGTGTTAATTTTTTTTTTGGTCGTTTCTTCCTTCCTTGTCTTTAATCGTTTTCCATTGCAACTTGCAGACAGATGCAAATACATATAGAGAGAACGGAAGTACGAAAGATGAGGCGGAGATCTCGTTATCCGGCGGGCCGGCCGGATCGCAAACAGTTCGTGGCACAATGCAAAAAAGAAGCGGGTATATCTGATTATGTTACTGGATTACACGTGTGTGAAAGCATTAATCTGGTAGGCAGTTTTAGAAGCAAAGGACACAGGCACATGCACATTCTGTTTATTAATCGGGACAATGTAAAACAAAACTGCTGTTAGAGTCAGTATTCACATACGCATTCAATTAGGTCGCCTTAAGTTGATCGGCTTAAGAGGAGCGCCTTAACAATTAACGCACGCAACACACACGCCTGGGTGCTCGTGTGCACGTATATACGGTACGTACATGTGTACCTGCGCGCGCGCAGAGTGTCTCTCCTGCGTCTACCGAAACGTTCCTCCAGTTTTCGGCTCCTCCGCGTACTACCGCGCCAAGTCGACTTTCGCACGGGCGGAAATTTGATCAAATATTTGGCGGGGCGAAGTTGAAGTTTTCGTTAAGACAAGACTCGTTTTAAATTACCTGAAAAATCGGCCGCTCCCGATACGGATTCTCATTCAAGGGGGGAAACCCTTTAATCTCGGATGTCGAGGTAACATCCGTAATTAGATTCCGTTTCGGATTTTCGTCACGGGGATGGGGATGCTCTCGAGTCCGGATTCGTCAACGAGTCTCTCCGCGGCGAGGAGAGGGAGAGAGAGATCGAGAGAGAGAGAGAGAGAGTGTGTGTGTGTGAGAGAGCTTGGACACAGCGTGACAGCCTCTGTGCGCGTGTATACCTGCACACGGCACGCAGTTTACGTGTGTGTATGCACCTTTTACTTGTACTTACACTTATAGACATACACATACAAATGAGTATACAGCGCGTTCCCGAGTTTCATCGGCGAACTTTCGCGATCTATCCGGAGCACTAAAACGGAACTTTTTAATGGGTACCCTTCGCTCGCGAGTGGCCTCGCTGAGATTTCGGCGAGGGCGTTCGGTACGAGCGTGGATATCCTCCCGCGGGATATCGGCAATTAACGGAGGCTCGCGCGTCGATTCACATACACCCGACCCCGCCGAGGGTGACGCGGGACGCTCGCGAGCGAGGGTCGTCTGATAAAAGTGAAAGACTCTGTTCCGGCGCCCTGAAGAAACCGTATTCGCACTCGTCGACAGGATTGAGACTCGCCCCGTATAATTTATATATACACAACATCTCTCGCGACTCGCGCATCTCGGCGCGACTTGCGTTTCTCGTTTCACGCATACGTTCCTACGTGTGTATGCACGCGCTTCTCGCGCGTGTACGTGTGAGAACGTTTGTATACATATATGAACGTGTTCGTGCTCGTGTACTGTAATATGTATATGTGGGCGCGTTCGTGAACTCTCTTTACAAGGAGAATTGCCGCCAGGATAGGGTCGTCGACGTGGAGCCTCCAATCTCGGCTCCCGCGCAAGTCTCTCCCGTCCAGTTATCCTCTTAACACTAAATCTGCGTTAATTTATCGGGGGGTGTACACAGGGATGAGGTGTTAGAAGTAGTCCGCTCGTACACGGGTACATCGATTGCGTGACGGCGCGCCGAGAGAGAGAGCTAGAGAGAGAGCACCGTCTATTCTACACTGTACATTCTCGCGATTCTTCCTTGCTCCTTGTATTTTTAGACGCCGGGGATGGTGCGCGCGCGATCGATCGCCGCGCGGAAGTTGATTTAGACGACTCAAAATGCTGTACTCGACGTACACGTGGCTCGACGCGGGGTTCATCAAATTGTTATTGGTTCCCGGGTGAACATTGTTATGGGTCCCCGCGTGAAAGTTCTTACCGATTCCTGTTCGCGGACGAGCCGCTTTTCGCCGGGTCTGCCGCGAGCGGAGTTTTAAAACCGGTCAATTTCCGCGCGATCGGAGCGACGCACCAGCCGTCGACTCTCCGCGGAAAGTAGCACCCTCGACTTTCCCAGGAGACCGCGGTCTTCAAAGGCCCGTATCCGCGACGCTAGAACTTGGTCCAAGTCCTGGTTTCGTGAAATGTGCAGCCGATCGACTCGCAGCTCTTCCATAAAGGCTGCGAGTCGACTGCCTACGGCAATTTCTCGGAACTAGAACTTAGACCAGGCCCTAGCGCCGTGGACACAGGCCTTAAGACGCTTCAGCAGGGCACATCTTGTACGCGGAACGAGATCTTTCTTAGGCCGAGCGATTACCTGCCGGTAATTACCAATTTTGCGCGCGATCGTTCGCGACTCCCGCAACTCACGGATATCGAAACCCCTCCCTACCCTTCCACATTTCTGTCAGCATTGCGCGCGAGATATTTTTGCAAGAGAACAAGGGAAACCCGTTAACACGGAATTTGTCGACCACGTCGCAGAGAAACGCTTGTCGAAATTATTGACTACCGTAAACGTTAAATCGCGCCCACACAAACGCTTATGCGGTTGACGTTCTAGTTTATCGCCAGCGAGAGCATATCGACTTTATTATTGATGAAAACGTCACGCACCCCGTGTTTCTCAGCTAGAGTCTCGCGGGGAAATATCGCGAACTATCGATGGCACACGTTAAGTGCACCCGACGGAATAGTAGCGAAAAAGCCGAAAGCGGACAAAGAGAGAGAGAGAGTGAGAGAGAGAGAGGGAGGGAGAGAGAACGAGAGACCGGTGTATCTCCTACTTGTTATTCGCGGCGGCCGACCCTTGGAAACGGTTTTACCACTGTTCGGCGAACGTGAAATTTCCTCGCGGCCGATGGCTCGTGCGATATCGCCAACGTTTCCCACGACTCTCGTAAAAGGCCGCTGCCGAATGTGAGGGGGTGCCGAGTACACCGCGGCCACCTTTCCCCATCGTTCTCCCTCTCTCGCTACCACGCCTCGACTACTGCTGCTGCTTCGTTATGCAAGCTCTATGCAAGCGATGATTTAAAACGCATCCAGCTGTTCTGCGCGAGGGAGAAGCCGCTTTTAGCGAATTTAATTATCAGTCAACGCGTTCTTGTCCAACGTTCGCGCGTCCGGATCGAGCAGCGCTGAGAGATGAGAGACGTTATCGATGTACCTGATGAAGCCATCCTGACGCCAGCAACGAGTAATCGGGAGGACTTTCGGCACCTACGCGTCCATGTAAATCCTGCTCTTTGCATTTATCTTTCCGATCCTTCGATCTCCAACCGCGGGCGAAAGAATCGTATCCGATTCCTCGCTTCTGACGTCACAATTTAGTACAATAGCGATGTGATCAGGAGCCTTAATTTTTATTCCCTTCCGTCTCTTTTTTTTCTTCCCTCCGTCAATACATCTTGCAGAATGCCCCACGTAACCGTGCGGAATTTTTGATGGTTCGTGAAATGCGACCGGAATGCTACGAAGAAATGTAGAACGAAGAGGAATCGTGATAAATGGCTGGGTTATTATTAGGTGCCGGCGATGCTGCGAGAGCGAGCTTTCGTTAAGTACAAGCCGACTGAATTATTCTCTCAGGAGAGGCACAACGGAAAAGTAGATTTTGCCAGACAAGGGACAGACTGCAAATTGTTTCTCGAGGCTCGTCAAATTAGTTTAGACGAAAATTAAGAATGTACTGGATAGATAATACACAACCAGTGCTATCGTCGTGAAATTTTAACATTAACATTCCTAATAACGCTGCTAGGTCACGACGAATTCTGTCCAGTTTTTCTACTTGCTCGTTTAAAAGTTATCGATTATTCAATATTGCTATTTTATTAACACAAGGTCTCGAGGCAACTTTCGACAGACAAATAATAAGTCATTAAAAACCAATGACAAAAATTCCTTCTTTTCCTTGCCGCGTTCTTCAACAATGTTTTCCGCAAATCTTCAAAACGATTTTGCTTGCTGGCTTTGCGATTACTATTTAACCCTTTGAAGCATACATTTTTCTGTTAAACCATTTTTTGTGGAGCTTTGTACGCAAGAGTTTTTGGGGTCGCTGATTACGAATCCGTTATCAGATTTTCATAATTCAAGATGGCGGAATTCAAGACTTAAAAAATAACATCAACTGTAATTCAACGATGCTAAGAAACATTATATAGATATTATTAGGAGCCATGGAATTTAAATTCCAGATGAAAATTTTTATAGAATATAAAAAAGCAACGCTTATAAATAAATTGACGTTTAGCAAAACAGCAAATTAGTGTACTGAGAGCCAAAGAAAAGTTTTCTAAAAGCTTTAAATTATGCAGAAAAAAATGTGAAACGATGTAAAAAATTCAGATAAATCGTAAAATTTCCTGACTTTTTCAAATTTCTAAAATCCCCTGACAATTCCCGGTTTTCCAGATTTCCCTGACCACTGGACACCCTGAAACAATACCTCGAACTATGATTTTATGAATTTCTTAATTATGTGTCAATCAGAGCTCGTGTCCCATCCAGTTTTAATTCTGGATTAATTTTTGGAAGAGATAATCCATCCAATACATCTTTAAACCTCTACTCTTCGAGACGCGTCATCGGTGATCGCGCTTCATCTCCTGCTGTCCGTCAAATTTTTCGTTCAGTCCTTTTCCTTTCCCGCAACTTATTACGTTTTTATAAAAAAATACTTTATCCTAAATAAAAACTGAGAGTCCTAAATTGAAACAAGTACGCCCCTCGAGTTCCATATGCATAACTCACTACGCAAATTTGTCGGATGCGATTCGAGGAGATGAAATATTACTAAAGAACGTTGACGAGTATTTCGTATATATGCGTGACCCGCGACGAAACGACGCACACTTTGCTCCGTCACGCCACAAGAGTCGTCTTAACGTTTCGTTCGATAGAGAGATCGTCAAGTCCTCGCGCGCTTACACTAAGTGACTTGCTCGGAGAACAAGTGTCCGTACACGCTTTTCTTTCCTCGTATACGCCGACGATACAGAATTTTGCGGGGACGGCGAAATTCGTATCGCTCCTACCTTTCCGCCGGACTCTGGGCACTCGTGCCGCGCGATCGAGAATCCTGTTCTCCGGTCGGCGCGAGCGGAGTTTGCCGTCGAGCCGACGTGCGGAGTAAGTTGAGAGGACGGATGGTGGCGATGCGTTAACGCGCGGACCGAGCGTGGGCAGCTCACCCTGGAAAGTGGCGCAAACCAAATCTCGCGGACCTCGTTGAAACGCGGTTATCGCGGTCTCTCTACCCGCGGATTCATCATTAACGTCGTCGTCTCGCCCGATCTGGTTAGGCTCTCTTGCAGGATAAGCGGCACCCGCCGATATACGCGGCATCGAACGTTACAGGGATGGAGATATCTCGGGGAAGATATTTTAGCAGCGATTTTTTTGACGAATTGTAATCTTTTTCTCAGCCGCTAATCTCAGGGCGATTTAGTTAAAGAAGCAACGCGCTCTACGCCGAAAATACGCCTTTAGAAATTCGTCAAAGAATCCGTCTTCTAAAATAATCGTAGGCAGTAACCGGATGCAGCCCGTGGTACAGCTTTATTCCGACATCGCCGCGATTGGCGCGATTTTCACTTTGGCGAGCTCGAATAACCGCGGGAAGACGTTCCTTCCGCGTAGTCCCCAACGTCCCAGGCGTCGGCGCTCGACTTTGATCGAATCCCATTCCACGCCTGCGAACGCTGTGAAAAATTACAATCGCAGGCTGCGTTGCGTTCAGCTCTTCTGGGCCTCGTTTCTCGGGCGAAGTCGCGCGCGAAGAGACTCCTCAAACGCCGAGGCGCGTATTCTTTCGGAGAAGGGCGGGACGCGCGCGCGCGCGCGCGCGTGCCTCCGAGATTCGAGCGAGCGAGGACCCTCGATTCCGGAGGAGGCTGACGTGGAGCCGCCCCGCGTCGGAGACACCTCGAACGCAGCGGTCTCGCGCGACGGCGCTCGAGAGATCCATCTCGGAACGGACGACGGAGATCCAATCGATCTGACGGCGCGAACGGCAGTCGTCGTTGGCTTCCGCTCGCCTCCTCTCGAATCGCCACTCTCGACTCGTCGACGCTCCCTCTTACCCTATATGCCCCTTAGTATGGTATCGTATGTACACGCAGAAGTAAGCGTACTCGAGAGGCGATCGAGAGGCACGCACGCCAGGCTGCGTCGCGCGATAACGTGTCAACGCACTTATCGGCTTATCAGCGAATTCCGCGGCAGCGACGCCAAGTTACGATGACGTTAGGAGCGGGAGGTCCGCGATCTTACCATGGCGCCAGGTTTCCCGGAATCCCCGGGCTTTCCGGACTCTCCCCTCAGTCCCATGGGGCCCTGAAAGTAGATAGACAGAACGCCCATCAGCATGTCTCGCCGTCCGTACCGCGCGGTTTCGCGACCACGTGGCGGGTCTCGCACGTGGTCGCGGGTGGTGGATCAAGCGCGCGACTTTTCCGCCGCGCGTGCGGGAGGAGGAGGAGGAGGCGGTGATGGTGGCGGTGGTGGTGGTGGCGTTCGAGGATGTGCAGGACGTATGCTCTAACGCTTGTAATCGTATTCGTTCTTTTCGTCATGCAGAGAGATTGCGTATACCTTCGTAACATTGTGCGCACGCCTCCTCCCGTCTTTCTTTCTCGTGTGTACCTACTTCTGCCGATAAAGTCCAATTCGTTATAAATTACACCACGCGCCACAATGCCCCGCGACCCTTTCGGTCCCAAGTTTCTCCCCGCCAAGGCGCGGGGGAGAGAAATCTCGTGTGTCACGTTTTCGGGTCAAAGGGCGAATGCTCGCGGGCGACGTCGCCGTCCCGTTTCCGCGCGAAGAGAGTGCGATCGATGAATCGCGGGGGAAACTCGGAAAGCGGACCGAAAGGGACGCTGACGCTAACAACGCAACGTTCGGAATTTTCGGAACGCGATTTTTTTTTGCAGAAAAAACGAAGGCGAGGACACTGCATTTTTTCTCCTCCCCCGAGAACGCTCGGGAGGCCCCGTCTGCGTTCTATCTGCCTTTGTGCGTCCTGTGTTCGCGTTTCCTTTTTAGAGCGCGCTTAAGGCTACGCATGTGTGCGTGTGTATATATAAATACATGTATATATATATTTGTGCGCGGGCATGCCGTGTGTAATCTGGAGAGAAAATACGTACGGGCAGTCCCATCGGACCAGGATCCCCTTTGCCACCCTTTTCTCCCTGCAACGTGAAAAAAGAGAGAGCGGCGCGTGAGAACGGGCCTGTCCGCATCGCGATGTTGTCGCGCGCGCAAAAAGGTGATCTCAAAGATCACCAGCGTGAATAGCTTCACGCCTCGAGAGTCACATCAGCAAACGCGATCTTTCATGCGTTCGGAGGGTTCTCAACTACGCGCGTCCGCGCCGGTTTCTACCGTCATTTCGCGAGCGTAACGAAACACCTAGGTCGACTCGTGGTTTATTTTTAATCGTCGCGAGACAAAAGAAGAGATATCATTTTTTTCGTCGCGTCAGTCGAACTTTCTGTTCGCTGCAACGGAAAACTAATAACGTGAAAAAATAATGCCATTTATTATTGCGATCATAGCCGGGCTCGCCGTTGCCGGGCTACGTTCTCTAAATTCAGTGATAGCATGGCGGAGGTAAATAAAAATATGAAGCTATAGTTGACGTGTAAAAGGTTTTCACGACGGTTTTTGCGCGCGAAACGAGGCGACGCAAACAGATCGATTCTGTTATTCGACGTCTGCAGTCTCGGAGAGAGAAATCAACACTAGTTTTCCATCGCGCGGACGCGAACGCGTGTAACTGCGCTTTTATACTCTACACGCGCGGGCAAATATAGATAATGGTTACTGACAGGATCGCCCTTGGCGCCATCGTGTCCTCTGTCACCCTTGATCCCGGGTGGGCCCTGTAGTCCGGGGGTACCAGCGGGTCCTGGGGGTCCGGGCGGGCCCATTATCTGCGCATCGACAGTGTCCCGTGAATTAAAAGCGATCGCTTACGCAGAGAAAACGATTTCGTTGGATTTCATCAATTTTGTTGCATCCAAACAAATTTGATATTTGAAATGGTCCAAACAAATCATTCGTTTGAATTTGAAATAATATACATATATCTTCGTCTGAAATAAAATATTTCTTTGAAACAAAAGGTACATTCTCTTTGGTCTAAATAATATTATGGTTTTATTCAAGCATTATCGTTTGATAGAAAATATGTGAAAAAATGTACATACATACATCTTTTTCCCTCTACATTATAATTGTTTTCTTCATTAGAACAAGAAGGATAAACATTGAATTAGTACACTAGGTTCAGCTATAAAGAATAGGCCATTAGACGATTAGACTGCGTCTGCTGGCGCAGTCTCTTATACACTGAGAATAAATTTTTGACAATTTATTTGCGGCATATAATGTTTATTTCAGTGAAATCAACATTATATGCCAGAAATAAAATTTTTAAGACTTTTCTCAGTGTATGTTTGGCTGCCGTAATTTTACTTACGATTTCGGCGGCCATCTAGTGGCAGCACCGGACTTTATGGGCGCCAAATAATATAATTATTTAGTCATCAAATAATAGAAATTATTTGAACGAAACAACGAAATTTTTATTCAAACAAATAATGTTTTGTATAAGCATATGTTGTTTCAATGAAATAAATCTCGATCAAATAAATAGGAATACTAAATCCAAAGAAACCCTTTTCTCTGTGTACCGATGAAAAAACGGTCGCTCCTCCGCAGCGACTTAATTTTGGTTCTAAAATTAATCAGCTGTACATTTCCGATTTCAATTGTCCAAGAGTAAACACAGGCGGTGCGTTTGTGAATTTCTAAAACTTCTAACACGAATGAACGTACCGTAAAATCGAGGTGGAAAAAGCGGGCTCCGTTCGACAATTTTTACAGCTTTGGGCGAATCGCTTTATAATCCCCATAAATCGTGTCGCAAAGGGTTACATAACTACATAAAACACAGCCCATAACGGAGCACAAAGTCGATGTCGCAATGGCGACGCGACCGAAAATTTTAAACCCGCTCGAACAGCCGATACGGAAGCGAAGTGATATTGTTCGCCGTATTTGTTTTTTGTACCAACCGGACATTACCGTAAATCGCGCGTAAATAGCGGACACAATTCGCGAGACAACTTACCACTTCCCCGGCGTTCATCTCGAACGTGCCGTCTCCCTGCGAACAAACGTGCATTCGCCGTATTCATACATGTTGCATTAATATCATGTTACATGCAGCGAACTCTATGCTATTCTATAGAGTCCCTCTAATCCGAGTCCGGCCAACAGGCAGTTTCAGTAAAATGATGCGAGAGAGAAAGGAATATATTCCCTTTCACTTTACATGACGCATATTTCTTTCTCTCTCGCATCATTTTGTCGAAACTGGCCTGTTGGCCAGACTCTGATTAGACGGACTCCACTATTCTGGAAGACCTATCGCCCTCTTGAAGAAGATGGATAGAGTGAGCCAGACAAATAGTTCCCATTTCTGTCTCTTTCCGGTAATTCTGACTAGTCAACGATCTTCTATCTCACCTTATACAGGTGAGATAGAAAATCGTTGATCAATCAGAATTACTAAGAGACAGGGAACCATTTGTCTGTCTCACTCTGTCTTCTTCAAGAATAGGTTTTCCAATATAGAGTTCACTGGTTGCACGCTAATCGATGTAACATTTAAGGATCCTCCCTCGCGCATTCTTCCCCGATCGAAGGCGACGCTTTTGTCGCGCGATCGAGAATGAAGACACGAAGATACTCTCTCGGTTGTAAACTGTCACATACCTGTCTTCGCCTGAGCTTTTTGTACTTCTATGGGTGGAAAGTGGATGTCCCGGCCATGAAAAGAAATTCATTTTATCGTGAGACTCTGCCTGACACACGTCTGCACCGAAACCGCAGTTTCGATGCTATCGCGATTGCACCGAAACTGCGAATCGGTGAAGCCATTGTGATGAAAATACGATGGCATCTGTGGAAGATGCGCCATCGGCTTCGCGATCAATCGGAAATCGCGGCAGCTGCGTTGATCGAACCGTCCGTAAAAAAATGTATTATTCTTCGATAATAGAATCTTGCTTAAATTTATTGGATCCTGCATGAAACTAATTTCTGCGAAATCGCTCCGGTAGATCATATTTCATACGAATATTGTGTACGCGATTCGGCTTTTGTCGCGATATTAAAAAGACAAAATAAAAATACAGTTAAAAATGGCGCACGGATAAAAATATTCGACAAAAATGTGTATATAAATCCTATATATATAATCTCTTGTGTATCTTCCATCGTATAATTCTTTCTATATATCACATTCCATCCTTTATTACCTCATTATGTTATATCAGTTTGTTTCTTATCTTCTCTTTATTTAATAGAAATATTGATATATTAATTTTCGAAATACCTCGATGGACGCGGCAAATTTTAACAAACGTACTCACCGATTCGCCCTTTTCTCCCTTTTCGCCTTTCAGCCCAGGATAGCCCTGCCGACAGAGTCACATAAGACAAAATAATTACGATAATATTCGTCGAGGCGATGGCATTTAACCCTTTGAAGCATACATTTTTCTAATGAACAATTTTTTGTGAAACTTTGTATACAGGGGTTTTGGGGGTCGCCGATTACGAATCCGTCATCAGATTTTCATAATTCAAAATGGCGGAATTCAAGACTTAAAAAAAATAACATCATTCAACTGTAATTCAATGCTAAGAAACATTGTTTAGATATTATTAGGAGCCATGGAATTCCAGTTGAAAATTCTTATAGAATATAAAAAATAGCGCGCGCGAAATGGCGGACGCAAAATTGAAATTTGATCATTTCTTAGAATTTATTCGTTCTTGGCACCACCCAGAGCTAAATACCGTAATCAAACGAAAATGCTTGAAAACTTAAAAAATTCACGTACTTTATATTCGCTATTTTGGGTCGGTCATTTTGAATTTCGAAAGTCTGACATCAGATTTGTAATGAGCGACCCCGAAAACCCCCTTTGTATAAAATTTTCAAGAAATATTCTCAAAAAGCTTGGTGATTTTTTCATAGCTGTTTAATTATAAAACTTACAATAAATATTAAAGACTACTCAACTTTGTTTTATGTTCTTTTATCGCTAAGATACCCAAAAAATGCAAGAAACCCGACCTAGATGCGTTAACTAGAAATTAAATGGTCAAAAAGTAAGGAAGTTGAGGTGGTAACGAAGGTTACCACCATGCTTCAAAGGGTTAAGGCCGCATCTACGTACCGGTGGACCGGGTAGACCCGGAGGTCCCATAAGGCCGGGGGGACCAATGTCGCCATAGTCGCCCTTTTCACCCTTAGGTCCGGATATTCCCTGAAAAGAACGGACGGACGCGACGTACATGAAATGTTACAGGCTCGTGTTTCCTTAATTCCGTTAAAAAAACCTCCGTGCGTTACGTAACACCGCGTGTATTAATTAGATTCAATACACGATATTCGTAACATTATACATTATGTATTGCAACTGATCAGAGTTGCATCGATATGATATTACAGGTATTGTGTATCGAAAGTTTAGCGCGCGATGAAAGAGATATTTGACATTTAACAAATGTATTGTGATACTTAATATATCACGAAGGTATCCTTGAATAATACGCTTGATATTCTTTCAATGCTTGTTTGGACGACGCTTATTATATTGCGAGAATTCAGTCGCGCGGAAACGCGGCAGGAGATATTCGAGCCAATCCTCAAAATACACGGCGATTAGTTATTGTTGACGGGACTAAAACAGCTTCACGTAATAATGCACTCGCTTACTTTGACAACATTAAAATGTATCAATTACGTAAATGGTATGTTAATGCCACTGGAAAGAAGTGACGCTAAATCTCGAGGCGGTGAAAAATATAGCGAACAATACGTAATGTATGCTACGAACTTATTTTCCCGCAACTCTCTTGGGAGTTTCTCCCTCGCGTTTTCTAAACTTGTTTCAACAATCGTTGGGACTTAAAAAAAAATTACGCCGGTGACATTATGCAAAAGCCCGACGACGAGAAAGGGATATGAAATTTTCGCCACCTTGGTAAAACACGGTGGCACGCAACGGCCTCCCGAATATTGTCCTAAAGGGCGTGGGAGACGAGGAGATTTGGGGGAACCATTTCTCATTTGCGTCCCACTTACCGGTAATCCGGGGGGTCCTTGGATACCAGGATCGCCGTCGGTTCCGTTGAGCCCCGGCAAGCCCTGCAGTCCCGACTCTCCCTTGGGCCCTGAAAGCGAATTTGCCGGCCGTGAGCCGCCCGGTTGCTCGGGCTCGCCCGAAGTTAGATTAATTCGCGCGCGAGAGCGCGATCGATGACGCCCCGCAATTCCGCAAACGCGCGCGCCACAAGAAAACCACCCCCTCGCGCACTGCCCGCTTCGCCTTCCTCTTCCGTCGTTTTTCCGCCCCCAACTTCTCATTTCGCCCCGAGCGGCTCCCCGTGCCGGGAATACTTCCGGCGTGTTTATCGCGCCTCGGTAGAATGGTTCTCACCCGTGGGACACCCCGCGGACACTCCATGTTTATTGTCGATCTAAGTCGATCTTTAAATACAGGCGGATTTTTTATTATTTTTTGTTAACGGCAGTAATAACCTTTTCCAAATAGGCCAGCAACGAAGAAAAATCTGGCTTACCAATTCTTCGCACGAGTCTCGCGTGCTTCAACGTATTTGGTTTGCATGCCGGTTTTGAGGTGGCGGTCAGTGAAATATTGTCAATGCACTAATACCGTTTGTATACTCCGCCAATATTTTGATCGACGTTACGAAAAGCATTCGTCAGAAGACTGTCACGCCTTCGCCGCTAAACGCGCGGCAATGCGAACAGCGATGATAAATCGCTCGCCCGATAACCTTTTTGGAAAACAAACGTTTAATTAAAAATCCAATTCGATGTGGGGCGGAGTAATATTTAATTTCCTTAAACGGACGATCGGCGTTATTAACTTTTGATTAAAAATTTTCACGGAAGGCGAAGCAGGCGCGCGTTACGCCCGGAAGAGAATCGAGGGCACAGCCTTCGAATTCTTTCCCCCGGAGATCGGCGCGGGGTCGTTTTCAAGTTTCGCGAGGGAACTTTTCGAATCGTTCCGCTATTACATATCTTCGGAAAGTTAAACAGGAAATCTGAACTGATCTCGCGCCCGTGTTCAGTGGACCCGCATTATTCTCTGTATGTTTGCATAATCAAATACGGTTTTTTAACATTCACGTTCACCTCGCGCACATACTGTGAAACTATATAAGACGCTACACGAAGAGAATTTTTTCTTAAAGTTTATCCTGAAAATCGTGGGACATGGCACTTCGAAGAATTTTATGCGACTCTTTCGAAACTTTACCATACATTTTACTGGTAGAATTTCGAAAAAACTCTCGTAAAGTTGTTCACAATGCCACGATTACGTGATTTCCAGGGTTAATTTTAAGAGAACATCCTCTCCGTGTACTGTTTCGTACGATTATATAATGCAAAAGTATTCGAGACAAGGCGCGACGGTCCACTGACAATCCGCTAAAGTTAAACGAATCGTACGACGAATACTTGACCGTCCACTTTTCCCAGGAGAAATTCGATACGCCGTGATTCTTAACGCTCCTCTCATCAAACATAAACTCATAAAATATCAACAAAAATAAATTAGGAAAAAAGAAAACAAAAAAACTTGGTAAATCTGATTGGCAGTGTTAATCGTCGTCGATCGCGTATTATGTTACGAGAGAAGACGTGGGCGCCGGAACCGTCGTCCCGGAAGAGATTACACGAATCCCCGTAATTTTCGGATTTTTCGCGCGGCTGCACGGGGGAAAACGCGAACCTCCGTGGGAGGAATAGGGGGGCGGACACGGTCGTTTTTTTCGGCGCTTATCCTCCGCCAATTTTCCCGCCGCGGTAGAATGGCTTTCGTGGTAATCTACCTGGTGAACCCGGGTCTCCCATGGCGCCCTTATCGCCCCGGTAACCCCGTTCGCCGGGCTCACCCTTCGGACCCGGCAGGCCGGGGACGCCCCTCGCCAATGCCAAACCGCTCTCACCCTTGAAACCCTACAATGACACTGCAAGGTCAGATCCAACCAGGTCCTCCATGTGCGCTGTCAATTTCTTTTTCATCTTTGCTTCTACAACGAAGCGTTAATCTGTCTTCTTTCAGAGAGGAGGGAGAGGAGGAGAGGATGGTGTCTCGAGATCTACGTCAATTTTTCGGACGATCACGGTACCTTAAACAGTCCGCGAAATCTTCGCAATTTTCGTCCCCCGAAAGAACCTTCTCTATATCTCGCGTACCAAGATCGTCCAGCTACTTCTGCACTACACAATTAAACACACTTGCGGTTTCAACGAGTGTTGACTCGGTGACGTAGACAACGACTACTAATACTCATGCGACTACGAAGGATTCGTTAGTAAGGGTTCAAATTTAGTAGAAAATTGAGGACTACTGGTATCCCTTTCTCTCTCTCGTGCCGCACGATAACATCTATGATTTATAGTCTCCCCTCATAATTACAACCTGTAGAGCCAGTCCTACTGTGCTTAATAGGTTCCTTTCGTATTCGCAAAACGCAAAAAGGTATCTCATAAATTCTGACTTGTTATATATTGGCAATTACACAGAAATAAAAACTTTCAATTTACACGCCTCGTTATGATGTAACGTGGCAATATTTACATTTGATTTATAACTCGAAACGAAATATTATTAACATAATAGAACGAAGAACAATAGGTAACTGGTGAAGGTTCCAATATAAAAACAATATTAAAGACGAAAAGGGCAAATGCGAGCGCAGTATACACATTTCACTGGGTATAATTTAATAATTTCATAAAATTATTACATTACTATTTTTTTCTGTCTCACTGAAGATGATCCGAAACACGGATTGAAAACGTATATGAGCTCGTTAAATAACATCGACTGAAATATATATCGCGCCTTGATTTCAGCGGCTGGCTCGCATTTGCCCTTTTCTTCTTTAGACACAAAGAAGCTTTATTAAAAATTCACAAGATAATAATCGTAATTCGCAAATGTGGTTCATCGAGAACACGAGAAATGCTGTAAGAGAGAGAAAGAGAGAGGGTGAACGAGGAGTAGGATCGACAGAAAAATTAAATAAAAATAGATACAAATATTAATATCGCGCATAAAATGAGCATAGAGAGAGAGAGAGAGAGAGAGACACCATGGTCGCGACAGTGTAAGCTACATACTTTGACGGGATCTTGAATACTTACGCGTCAGCCTGCAGGCGCTTGCGATCGCCGGTTGATAGGGTTGCGAGAACCTCAACACAACAACAAGCCGGGGGTAGTGGTTATTAGTGATTAGTGAATCGAACCGATACACGGGGGAGAAGAGTAGTGGGGTGGTGTTACTCGCTACATAAACACAAATTAGTTACACAAGCTACGTACACTACACGCCGAGGATCACTACTCACTAACTATACACGCACACACAGACACACGTACACGCACACGCACGCTGTCAAAAGCGCTCGATATCGCCCCCATCGTCCCAAAAAGGACAGTGGCGAACGCGACGAATATCTACACGGTGGTCCGATCAAAAATACCTCGGGGATCCCTCGGCGAATTTCGGGCCTATTTTTCTTTTGCAAACATGTCGGAGGAGATCGTTAGCTTCCTCGGGAATTGCCGACGATGGCGTTCACTTTCGGAAATTTCGTATATAAATTTAAATCCGACGTGAAAAACTACTCGAAGGAGCTTCGTCGCGGGAAGCACGATACTTTCGGAAGAGATCAACTCCAGGTATTGCCCCGGGGATCCGTCGCCAAGGTCTTTTTGAACACATTCGGCACACCCCGTATACGTTAGCTTTAGTTAGACATGTACTTGGCCGCAGCTTTGCAATCGGGACGCACGCAGCGCATCCGGGACAAGCATCCCGGCTTCGCGTCTCGTTAGAGAGGCAAATCGAGCGGACGGGCGAAGTTGCGAGCGAGCTTGCTTTGTGGTCGAATGGCGAATTTTACGGTTCGGTGAGCCGGAGGTAAGTATCCGCGGGCGGACACGTGTATCCGCGAGTTTACCGTCGTGGTTCGACCGCGAAACTGCAGCGGAACTGCCGAAGTTGCCCCGAAGAGTAAATCTCAGCGCGTCCGAGATCGCGTCCGTAGGAGCCGGGTCGCGGGATTTGCGTTATATTCCGCACATTCGCATTTTCCGCGGACGTACATTCCCCTTACTCGCCAAATTATTTCATGGGGCCGTAATCGCGTAAAAAAAAACAATTTGCAAAGCGCAATGGCAATCGTATTAGGCCCGTAGCAGGCTACGGGTTGAGATTGAGATTAGATTGAAATTTAACCGATCGGAGTAAAGTTCACTAATCTCAATCTGATCAGTCTGGTACGGGCTTTAGCAACACTTCTCATTAAATGTTTTCTATAAATATCATTTAGTCTCTCATTGCGCTTAATTCATTAGAAGAAGAAAGATAAACACTGAATTAGTACACTATGTCCAACTTTAAAGAATAGGCCATTAGATGATTAGATTGCGTTTGCTGATGCGGTCGCTTATATGTCTGGCCGCTTTACAGGCGCCTGGCCAAATAATATAATTATTTAATTGAAAGGTATTAGTCGAAATGATAGTGTCTTTTCTATCAAATAATAGAAATTGTTTGGGAATGAAACGGCTAAATTTTTATTCAAACAAATAATGTTTTCCGTAAGGGATATGCTATTTCAATGAAACACATCTCGATCAAATAAATAGGAATACTAAATCCAAAGAAACCTTTTTCTCTGTGCACCTAACAGCTGTGTCGGCTCTTATTGCCCGTTTTGTATTGATCGAATTATTTGCTTGTTTCCTTATCGAGCCTATAACTTCTATTTACTTAAAGTGTTTACTCATTAGTTTAAAATTAGTCATGCTTTTAGCATTACACGCGGTAAATCGCTGTCAAAAGGGTACCCGTTGACTTCACCGACCCGCTTCGTTACGAAATCCGGCTCGCTGTAAATCCACGAAAATAAAATATATAGAGTCGCGGAGAATTTAATAACGTCTAAATGGGACGGAGCACTTTTCTGTCATAAACACACGGACAGGCGGACTTTCGCACATTGCCGCAAGAAACGCACACATGTGCATTAAATATATGTTCAAATGGGCACGTTTGAAAATTAATATCATTAATTTGTATGAAATTTCGTAGAACAATGGCGCATTGTACAAGCACGTTCAATTTATCCCGCACAAAACTTTTATCAGCTCGTCTATATAGTATTCCTGTAGGCTTACCTACTTATATTTAAGTTAGAACCGATTTTATTACATACATTCTAAAATATTATATGTGCAAAGTGCCGACGCGCAGTAAGAGCTAAGATAAAAGAGAATAAAAAAATTAATTAGAAAAGTATTTTCTTCGTTTGATTATGACGAGCTCCGTTTCGTTACACACTATATTTCGAGAACATTACATTTCTATTTCCCTGTCATGTGCCGGCAAGATCGACAAGAAATATATTAAAATTCAACCGCAAAAAGGTGGACAACGGGTGGACCTTGAGAAGCTAATAATCCCTGCAAAACCGGAGTAATTAACTTCGTCGATGAAGTTACATTTCGAATCACGTTTCGACAGACAATTTCAAATATGCTAAATACCACCGTGGTCACCAGCGCAATCATGCCGAAGTGTTTCATTAATTTTCGATGCGGCCACGAGCGCTCGCGGGAAGTCGCGTGTTTGTGTCAATGGATCAATTAACGAGCGTGCGCCGGCGAGTACGCGCGCGGAGGAAATTTTACCTTTTCTTCGCGCGTTCCCGATTCTCAATTTTTCCGGCGGTCTTTCCGCTCGCGGGGAAAACGCGTCGGGTTACAAATGTCCGGGGGATGCGCCGCGCGTGGTCTCCGTTTGCAATAACCGCCGGGAGAGTTACGATCACTCGGCAGATCTACGAGTATACTTACGGTGGACCCGAAAGAGCGGTACGCCAAGCTCTTGGGCGCACTAGTTTACAGGTGTTAGGCGCGTAGGCGTGTAATTCGGCCGGAAGGAGAACGCTTTAAGCCCGCCACCCCCTTGTTCGCTCGCTCGCTTGCTTGCTTTGTTTGCCAGCTCACCAGTCTGCGGTTCGCGAATTTTGCTGGTGATGATGCGCACGAATGCGTGGAGACGATCGACGTCTCGGCATTCGGGCGAAGGGAAAAAAACCGAGAGAAAGAGAGACAGAGAGACGAACAGAGAGAGAGAGAGAGAGAAAAAGAAAGAGTTAGAAGGTGAGAAGAGGGAGAATCCGAGGGGAAACCTCGGATACCGCAATATGGGTACGTGTTATTTGCTGCCACCAACGTTTTATTTTTTCTTTCCTATCTGCTCTCTTTTCCCGTTCCCGCCTGCTATATTCTCCCCTTTTCTTTTCACTTTCCGTTGTTTTTCTTGTCGCATTTCTTTTTACGGGACAGACGGAGTCCCGACAGTCGCTCGTGGTACGTATGCAATTCCGAGGATGGGCACGGGCGGGCGAGGAAAGTTCCCCCCGCAGGAGGCGCGAGAGATTGCGCGCGAAAAGAAGTATGATTTTTGCGAATCAAATGGCGACTGCAACGACGTTGCCGAACGATAAATAACGTATGAAATATTCTGCGGTAAAGTTACAAATGCATGAATTTCGGATTCGACGTTACTCGATTCCGCGACAATGAATACACCGCGACCGCATTTAAAAACCGCCGCTCCCGTTAATTTGCATTGCGCGCCCGAACAAGAGGAATGGTTAATCGGTCGATTAAATTTTTAACGCGGCAAATTCAAATTGCAGACGTGAAACAAAACAGAGAGAGGGAGAGAGAGAGATAGAGAGAGATAGAGAAATTGCGCCCTTTCGTCGCGCGGAGAACTCACGTTTCACGGAAAGCAAACATCTTCCGCGTAGCGAGATTACAAATCGCCTCACGGCGAGGAGCTTCCCTCGGCCCGTAACCGTAACCGAGTGACGATGCTGTTCGGCTGCAGTTTACTCGACGATGCAAATGTGACGGAGTGACGTACGTGCTCATGCTCGCGTGACTGCGTGAAGAGTGCCGTGCCGTGCTGTGCACGCGCGCCGTGCTCTTGCGGCTCGAAGCGTCTCGCAGCGCGCGCGACGGAGTCGCTCGTTTTTGGGGCCGGAGATCTCGGAGATTACAAAATCTAATATTCCGCGAGAGAGACGCGAGACGTCGGCGATGCTCCAAAGTGGGACGAGGAGCCGAGACGGGAAATAAAATAGGAAAAAAAAACAGTCGGACGTTTCTCGCGCGGAAAGGAGAATTGCGGCGTTTGTTTTCCGCGCGGAATCGCGGAGGATTATTTAATCGGTAGAAATGGAAGATCGACGATGGAAATGTCCGGAAGAACCGCGAGCGCGATCTCGAATGCGCCGACGTGATTAACGGTTGAAATTAATGAAATTTGTCAACGAGCAAAAATCGAGAGACGATGAATTTTTCGCTGATTTTGCAAATTAGGTCGTTTAGTATTCTCAAAATCGAGGGTACGGGAGCAAACGAGCGGAGTGAAATCGAAGCGTAGACGCGATGCGAGACCCCCTCCGATTACAACGCGGAATCAAGAGCGACGTAATCGGGAATATCAGATCAGGCAATCCCGGGGTCCGCGCGACGGATATCTTGGAGCGATGCTGAAACACTCGGTCCATATGTACCTACGCACAGACACAGACTGGAGAGGCATGTGTTGCGGCGCGATGTCACAAAACAGAGCTGTATCCCACACGAGGGAGGACTACGGCTACGTCATGCTACGCGCACAAGGGATCTAAACAGTGGACATCCAAGTCAAGAGGCATGCGGTTATCAGCGTCCGAGGGACGTGAGTAATCCGATGTATTTTGCTACCATGCAAAAGCATGCACACGCAGCATGCGGGACGCAGGATGCAAAGGGGGCGTTGAAGGGGACACGGGATATCGGGGAACAGATTGGATGGACCATCCCTTTCTTTCCTTTTTCTTTTTTGCCCTTTTTAATTTCTTTCTGCTTCCTGCTACGTTCGGATTCAATCAACGGATAACGGGATCGGACGAACGGGACGACGGGCTCTGGACGGGGGACGGGCGGGCGGATGGTCGTACGGGGGTTGCTTTGGTCGATGGTCGGCGGCGGTCGGAGGACCTCGCTGAAGCTTACCCTCTTCCCTTGCTTTCCCCGAGCGCCCTTCTCGCCGGGCAGGCCGGGCGGTCCTGTCGGGCCCAGTTCTCCCTTCTCGCCCGGGGACCCTGCGTGCCGTGCATAAGATGAGACATGGTGCCCGCACACCACGCTGGCTCGTCCGCACGCACGCACGCACGCGTGCACGCGAACGAGCCGCGCGGAATTTCCGGGATTGGCGGCCGCATTTCGAAGATTCTCTTCGAGCGATCGAACGCCGAGCGACGTCCGACCGAGTCGCGTGATCGAGCTTTACGGAAGTAAACGTCTGAACCGAGAGAATTCGACGCGGATTTCACAGCGAGCGAGCTGTACGGCGGAATTTCACGACGCGGTCGGCTGATATGTCGCGATGTAAGCTCGAACGTAACGTTATCAGTCAAGACTAAGCGGCTAAGAACTGGAATTACGGTCTGTCAAGTGTACGGATTAATTTACAGCGCAACCTGTTCGACCGTTACTTTTTTACGAATAAAATTCTGACTTGTCCGGTACGGCTCTCAGACAGAGCTGACAGTTGACAGTATGTCGCAACGAGAACGATCAATGCTGTTCTGTCGCGCGGCAAAGGAACTTTTACATCTACATAGTAAGATTTTCTTTCATTTGCTCGCCAGTAATAGAGTAACATTTCTCGTGATACTTGATCGAACGATTAGAGAACATTCCGCCTCTCTACAAATTTTATGTAAATCCAATTGCATCGAGTGATAAATTTATAACTGCATCCCTTTATATTTTATAGAAGGACTTGCCTCCGAAAAGTGAATTTGAAACTTGCTCATCTTCCCGCAACAAATAATATCCACACCCGTAAACCCGTGAACTCGCAACGTTTCGACGCACGGGCTTGTCTTTCCTACGCGTTATCGGCGCTATAAAGTCATGAGTTTTGCAACTGCAAAAATTCCCACGGCGCGCGAAACGAAATTCGAGGATCGCGCCCGAGCAGAGTAAATACGCCGTGTGACGCACGTCGTTGATTCTAAAATACGACTTTGTGCAATATCGACAGTAGCTTTGTGCGACGCCGAGAGTTTCCGCGACTCCGCGCTTGTTGCAGTTCGTGCCATGAAATTGCGAGACGGATTTGTATGTGGCTAAATTAATTCTGTCAGGTGCGCATGTATAATGCCCGGAAACGTTGTTACCCGTCCTTGGTTCTCCGCTGTCGTCGCGCAACGGTATAAAGACGGATTAGCGTTCGCGTAATTTCGTTCTGTCGAATGCATCGGACTCGTCGCAGTCGCTCCCCCCGACGCGATCATATCGCCGGGGCTGCCCCCCATCAACGCTAAATTATTTTCTTGCGCACGGGAAGATAAATCGACGCGAAGCTCTTCATCTAAAATTCGCAACATCTACGAAAAAAAAGGGGGTAAAGTCCCGCCTCTCCGCCAAATCCCCCTTTTCAAGTCTTTATCTTTAGTCTTGATTGGGATAAGAGATTCCATCCCGAGATGTCATCTAATTATCTTTCATTACGGAAACGATCGATTCGATTCAAGGCGAGCAATTTTTTTCCTTTCGAGCACGCGTACTTTTGCAACTGCAATAAAGCCTGCAATTTTCGCGACGATCGTTACGCGCTCCCTCTGAATCTAGCCGGGGATTTGAGGGCGTAAACGAGCGCGTTTAAAACTGTTTCGGTGTTTCCTATTTTTCCCCGGCGATTCTCACTCAATTATAATCACGGAATTCTCCCGCGGATCAATCATGTCGCGAGGCAGGTAACTGATACTCCGGGCGCTTTTGCCAATATCTGACGTATCACGGTCAACACGGCGCGCTGTAAATGGTCGTTTACGAGTAGCGAGATCGGATTCTGAATACGTCCGCGATCGTAAATCATTTTCTCGCCGTCGCGCGGCACAGGCGGGGGTGGCGCGCGAACATTGACGGACGACCGAGTCGTGAGATATTGGCGCGAGGAGGGTCGGAATTTTTTAAGCCGGCAGTCGCGCTCGTCTTCCCGCGACGAGATACTCCCTCGGCTTCCGCGCGCGCCGTGTGCCCCAGGACCGCGCATTTATTACCCTCTGCACTATTCACGACGAGCGTTGCGCGTGGTGTCTCTTGTCTTGTAATTTTAAGCAGGGCTGAATCTTTTACACGCAGAGTATCTCACGGAATTGTCGTGACGGTTCCCGGAGGCTGCAGATTTCTCGGTTGCGCTTAGAAGTGATTTTTTCCCCTCCCCCTCGGCGAATATTTCATGGAAACTCCGCGACGTCGGTGTCGCCTCTTTATAACGTTAGCGCTGCTAAGTATGTCAGCCCGACGAAAATGCAGATCGCGTTACTGGGCTAATTCAATTTTGCGCAACATTAAAATTTACTCCTGAATTTTTCAAATCCGTTTTACCATAACGCGCGCGTCCTAGTTATTTTCTATATAATCCCGGCTTTCAAGCGACGTCGCGTGCGGCGATACTTGAACGCGCTTAAACAACGCTGGCATTCAATTATTCTTCTTTCGTCGCAGAAAGCTTCCCCTAATGCCCCCTGTAAATCGTCACTCTTTTTGCGAGATTCAGTCCCCGCGCGACGAGCCGAGTGCGAGTTTCGCGAGATATCGCCGCGTATATAAATGCGTAGCGCAGGTTTTTCGGACGGTGCCCCTCGAGGACACTCAACTCCCGAAGGGTTAACGCCCGATCTCGCGCGGGACGAGTGGCGTAGAGAGAAAAAAAGGAGGCTCGCGCGCGCGCGAATGGCAAAGAAACATTTGCTCACGGCCGCATACATTACTACACGGCGAGACGTAGCACGTGTATACGCCCACCGTGTAACCGTGCGATCGCCTCTCGATCCTCTCGAGGAACCTGCACGGTCATCCAAGTCGAGATTTCCCCGTCAAACATTTCCGCGTTTCCTACGCACGCGCGCGCACGGAGATAATCGATTCACGGATGACCCAGGTTCGCAAGTCGATGATCAAATCGATATCGATCGTCATTTTTCGGACCGTTTCGTTTGACGACGACTAGATTCTTCATTGAGCTTCGCAAGATCGATAGAGAACCGCATAACACTTGGTCGATGTCTTGTCGACGTATATTTGACGTCTATACAGGGTGTCCCAGGAGAAAGGGTCAATACTCCGGGAGGTGATAGTATCGGCCATTTTGAGTAAAAGTGTTCATATGAATATACGTTCCATTCCCCACTGTTTCCGAGATAGAGCTATTTGAATGTACCGTTGCCAAATTACTGACAAGAAAGAAATACTACGTACTATTTCTAATACTTATTGTTCAAGTGATGTATTGTTTACGGATCTAAATAAATTTTCAAAAATTCCACCGTTAACAACAATGCATTTTTCAACTCTTGTGTGAACATGGCGTGTTCGACATTTGTGAATATGCGAAGCATTTGAAACGTTTCTACAATGTTATCGGCACAATAGTCAACAGACGTGTAAGAGTAAATTAGTTGACATATAGTAGACACCATATTCAAGTCGAGTCGATAAATGTAGATGTTGATTCGACTTCAATAATCATCAATTGAAACACGACGAAATCGTGGACATTTACAGAATATTTTCCGGTTATATCGTAAAGAAATCTTCTAAATATCAACCAGATTATTGATTTGCACATGATCTCAACTTGATTTCAATATGGTATTCACCAGATTCTTCATCGACTTGTGAACCCGGGGAGTGCCGCGTCGTGTTCCGATTCTGAAATGATCGACCTGATCCTCCCGTGGATCAGGGGGACCCCATGAGCCCTTAATCGCACACTGCCCATGAAAAGAATTCACGGCGGGATTGTTAAGTGGAAGATTACAGCATGTCGAATACGGCATGTTAAAATAATAATGTGGAAAATCGACACGTTTCGTATATTCTAATAAAATAAATATAAACTAATAAAATGAAATAATAAAACATACGGTAAAACGTGTAAACTGGAAATGCAGAATATACTGTCGAGAAAATGAAAAATAAACATAGCGACGCGAAGAACGAAAAATACAAAATAACGCTTAGCCCTGCATACGATTTCTTAATGCAATTGGAAAAAGCTACGGTATCAAATTCAAATGAAACGCCGACGAAATAAATAATTTGCATACAAGATTCGCAGAGAGTCACCGTCGCGCCATACTCGTATTCCTCACGGGAGTGCAATTGACGTGTAATGTTTAATCATTTATTTCGTATGCAGATTATCTCGTTTGTATGCTTACCAGGTGGTCCTGGTGGACCAGGTGGGCCTTCGAATACTCCACTTGGAAACTGCTCGCCCTTTAAGGTCGTCGTGAAGCCTCGATCGCCTTTATCACCTTTGTCACCCTGTCGAAAACAAACTTTCGATGACTTCTCGATATTTATTACACATACGGACAGCTTCTCTCGGCATCGTTACAACATATTATTTCCTGAAAGTAAAATTATCTCGTTTCCCTTTCCGCGGCAGTGCCGTCTGACGCGTGTGACAAGTTAATTAAAAGAACACTTTCCTAAATAGCGTTTGATGATCCTTTATCGTGGCAGTATCAAGCGTCGGTAATTAATATGCAGGAACGTGCTTTCGAATGTAATTAATTATAGTTGGATTAAATTAACAATGCGCCGGACGTAATTAATACTCCATTGTTCTGTAATCGCTCTGTTGTACTCCATTAATAATTATCGGTTACGTAACCTTTTGAATGACGCAATATTAAGAGCATAATATCTATGTAACGCCGCGCTTCTTTTTAACGGCAGGTGGCTACGTGCACGTATGTACATTTACCTGTTTGGGCGCGTGCAGTCCTTTGCGCTAAAAAAAAACCAACTCACACGCTCTTCGTCTTTGGATGGAAAGATTCGTCGCGGTTAAGCGAAACTGAGAACGCCGTTGAAATTTGAGAGAAATTCAAAATCCCACGAGATTAGTCGGATTTGTTTCAAACCACGTACTTGAAAGCGCGCGGCCCGTAATCATTACATAATTCCACGGTATAACGTGGTTACCTGCGGTGAGATATCCGTAATATTAAATCACTCCCTGCGGAATTTTGAACACGGTATCGGACGTTTGATATTTCGAAATACGCGAGCCCGCGATTACGCGTGAAATCACGCTTCATAATTTCTATTGGGTAAATAAAGTTAAGTTTAAATTCCGCATTATCAATCCGGCTATCGGCGGACCGGTAATAGGGATAATTTATGCAACGATATGATATAATATATTTATGAGAATAAAATCTATTTATATTATCCTGTAAACATACGTACGGAAATCCTATTATTACGGTAATATATTCTTTGTCCCTCGTCTTTATTTCTTCAATCCCGGGATAATTAGAAATTCTTTTTAACGCTCGTTTTCAATTAATATTAATGAGAATTATTCATCGTTCATAATTATTCATTACACAGGATCGCGAAAAGATTTTTTGGAAATTAACCGGAACCAGAGCAGGTATTTCTTATGCTTGCTAAAAGCCAATCAGTGAATTGTCGCTAAAAACAGTGAATAGTCGCTGATTCACAGTTATAATTTCGTACTGTGCCGCCAAATTTTACAATAAATTGCCATCCTCCTCTCTCGCCTCTTTTCGTTCCTCAGCATCTACGCATTTTGCATCGACCGCTTTCTCTTTCGAGTAATACTGTTATGTTACGTCCTTTTTTCTTTTGCTTTACTATCATTACGCGTAGCGATTTTTATTTGTTCCAATCTTTATTTTACCCCTAATTCTAGTGGGTAGACTTTGCAACAACTTTCTGTTGGTGCCTCACCTTCTGCTTTTCGATTATCAATGTTAACTCTCTTTCACTGTATCTCACGTTTGTAGTAAAATATATTATTATTATAAGTGTGGATAATTGCGTGACTATTCACTGTTTTCAGTGGTAATCCACTGACTCACTTTTAGAGAGTGGATTTTGGGTCGCTGAATCCGCGTTCGTAGCACCGTCACGTTTTAGTTTTTCGGATAATTGAGAAAAATAGTGAAAAGTCTGTCAAAGAAACGTTTCAAGAGAAAGCATTTCAAGCAAAGTTTACTGGGTCGATTTCAATGAAACTTGATTGGGTCAAACATTCCACAAATGTGATTTCAGTGACCCAAAATCTATAAGAAATACCCACTCTGATATTTTGGCGGTCCAGTTAATTTCCCAAAATTTTGTTGTAGTCCTGCGTTAGTAGCGAGATAATTTCCCATATTATTTTTCCCAATTCTACGCGGCGCAATCTCGTCAACAACACTTTGGACGCATTAAAAATTTCTACCGCAAGAAGGACTCGAGAACGAGATTGATTAATTTTAATACAACTTTAAAAAAATCTTTTTTAGCTCCTTATACTTTCACTTTAAAAGTAATGCCAGAAGTATCTAGGGTACCAAGAGAGTGCTACTTTCACCCCTTTCGTGACGGCATGCACCTGTCACGCGGGGGACCGCTGGCCGAGAAAAGCCCTTGAAATCTCTAGGGAAACGGATGATATTTGATACCTCGATGTCCCAAAGACGGGGGACGGGAAATGTGTAACCGGAGATTAATCTCTCGGACTCACCTTGGGACCTGCAAGTCCTGGCGTGCCTGTCGGGCCGATGGGCCCGATCGGCCCAGGCGGGCCCTTCTCTCCTGGTGAGCCAACCTCGCCCGGAATCCCCTGTCTGCCCTCGTGTCCAGGAAGACCCTCGGATCCTGGCGGACCGGGTGGTCCCGGCGGCCCAGGTTCACCCGGCTCTCCCTGTTACGTCCCAAGAGCGTTACGTCGTTACGGCTTTTCTCTCCGGCGAGAGCCCTCGACACAAGAGTGTCTCTCGGTACTCGTCGGTTTGTGCCACGGACTGACGGGGGATCGACAAGGGGAAGAGAGAAGAGGGGGGTGTCAAAGAAGAAGGAGAGCCGTGTATGTGGTGTACGATCTCTCGGGTGAGCGTATGAGGACGGTGGAACAGTAAAAAGAAGTAGATAGGAAAGCAAGAGAACGAAAGATAGACAAAGCCAAAGAGACAAAGAGAGGTAGACGAAGTTAGTAAAGAGTCCAGAGAGCAAGAGAGTGAGAGAGAGAGAGGGGGATAGAAGTACAGAGAGGGGGAGTGTGTGGATCGGCGGGTGGACGCAGGAAAAAGGAGAACTCTCGCGAGAGAATAGTGCATAGAAACGAGATCTCGGCGGCGGGGGAAGGGGGGGGGGGCGTACGGGGTTGCTCCTCACGCGGATTTATGGCTTCACGATGCGACGAGAGTAACAACGGCGAGTTACGGAGCGAACTTTTTTTTATCGTATTATCGCGTTACCGCGCGGTGCCGCTTCGACGATAAGACGAGCGGAGGAGGAGGAGGTTTCGTTCGGCGCGCGGGAATTTTTCATTATCCCTCTCGTAAGAAGACGCCCAAAGATGCTCGAGGTGTAACCGGATCCCGCGGAGAAACACCTCTGTAATGGCCTTTAGGATCGTTTCTTTCCTCCATAGATACTTTCACGCGATCGTTTTCGACGTAATGCAGAAAACTTCCCGACGTGCCGGGGGCCGTTAAAAGACGGTGTCCATCGGACGGAGCTAAAATCCGCGGTACGATAAGTTCGAAGGCAATTTTGAAATATCCTTAAGCGAGCAAGTTTTATCCTTTCTTCTGCAGTTATTGGCACTTGTTCCCGCGGTAAAGTAACTTAACAAAAAGAGCCAAGAGAAAGGTGAGAGAGAGATAAGTTTTGATTATATTTTTAATTAGTTTTAAGTAACGGGATCCTTGCAAAAATGTTTAATTAATTCTCTCGTTTTTACACGCCGTTATCGGAGGGTGATTCGACAGCGAATTTCTTGCCGGGGAAATTTGACGCGCGCCAGAATTTGTCAATTTTTTTCCCCCAAAATTAAATATCTCGACGGTAAAATCGTAAATATTAATATTTTTCGAATTCCTATCGGATTAAAATTCCGGCTGAAATCATCCGAGGGCCAGAAATTTTATTTTTAATAATTAATACTTGCGCGGCACGTTGTATGACGGGCACGAAAAATATCGCTGTCCGTACGTGTCATGTGCGGACCGCTACGCGTGCTCTCCGGTCAAATATTAATTAGACCCTTCATCAAACGCATTCGGGACGATGAATGCCGCGGTTCGTCGAAGGCCCCGGCTATTGAAACAGCATTTTCCAGCGGCGATGAGACAGCCCGCGTACACGAACGAGCAATTAATTTCTGTCACGACCGGAGAGACACATCAGCTGCCCGAGCAACCTCCCCCGAGCAACCACCCCCGTGACGAACGCGCGCGCGGAGAACACGGTTGTATATGCACTCGCGAGAGAGAGAGAGAGAGAGAGAGA